ACACACACACACACACACACACCAACCACTGTTTTTCAAAACCTAAAATGGACATCTGGCCACTCCAGGTTTGGTTTTTGAGGGACATGAGAGTTCAGATAGCCCCCAGGGGGTCCTAAGGCAGAAAATTGGTCCCTTGACCCACAACAATAGGCCACCTCTACTATAAGTCCTCCTCAGAGTGCTTCTGAGAGTAAGGATATATTGTTGGCCCTTTGGGTACAAAGAGACAGGCCCTAATCTCCTTTAAGGGAGAGCACAGACCTGTTGTAAAACATGTTTGAGAATCAGCATATAATGAGTACTTAAAGTTTACTAACAGCCACTTACAGTTATGATGTGCTGTTTTGACCAAAAACCCCTTTTAGCCTATTCCATCTAGTCATTTGCAGTAAGGCTTAAACACCTTATTAAATTCCATATTAAATGCCTGCCAGTCTCTGTTGTGACTCAGTGGGCTTGTTCTGGATTGTTTAAAAATGTTATGGTTGTCATGTGGAAGTCACCTTGAAAACTCAACCGCTTCTACACTCTGTAGGTCTGTGTGCATTGGTAGGCTAGTGTATGCTTCAAGTAATTTACCCATAAGATATTTCTATTCAGAATGTGTTTGTTGGCTGCAATTATGTTAAGATTGCAGAAGGAAATGAGAAGCATTTCTCATGCTTCTGGAAGAGATTTTTCATCATTTACCCGTATTATCCTCACATTAGTCTCATGAGTCAGCTAGTGATATTGTAGAGATGACATTTGAGGTATCTCTTTATTTCACAGGGAAATCTGTGTCTGGCAATATAGATGCCTGACTGTAGGGAGGACCTAGAGGTCCTAGATTTTTTCTCTCTCTCTTTAAAAAAAAACACACACAAAAACTAAAAATGTTTCCTGAATACCATTCTCCTTTTCACATCTGTTTTAGCTGGTGCATGCTCCTACTGCATCTTTAAAATAACTGGAATAGGGCAAAAGGGAGGGTTCCATGATCACTATTAGCAAATGGACCAGTATGTAAAAAAATTGTTGTGGTCTAATGTTTCTGAGTTTTTCTTCAAGATTGTCTTTTAAAACCAACCAACAAACCAACCAACAAACCAACCTAAGGGCAAAATCAGTGCTTCCCTGGCACTCACAGTGGAATGTTCTTCCCTTCCTTGTCCCTGCTATCTACCCTCTGTACCACCAAAAGCCGGCTCGGATGGGGGCCCCAAATCTCCAGACCCGGTTTGGGGAGCACATGGGAGCTATAGTGGGGGGGGGGCAAGGAAGGAAAGAACGTTCTACTGTGAAGTCCAGGGCAGCATTGATTTTGCCCCTATTTTTTAAGATCGTTTTTTTAATCTGTTTATTTTATTTTTTATAGTAAAAAAACTTTAAAAACAAAGGAACACATTGAAACTTAGCATCTCTTTCATAACAAACACAATTACACAAGTCCTATATTTACAACTTTTTAAAAAAACATAGTTTGAAAGTTTCAGTAGATTTTGTCTGGGGAAGTTTCCCACTATAAGGGAACCTCCATGCATGTACTCGAGAATAAACTGCATTGATGTTAGTGAAGCAAGGATAAACTTTGACAGGATCTCATTTGTTGTAACTTTAGTATTCCTAAGTAACCTATTAGCTGTGTTAAATAGATGACTAATAGGATACTAATAGGGCAGTGAAGAGGAAATCATTTTTACAGCAGGTAACAGGGGGTGCGTATTCTAACAGATAACAGGGAAGACATTGTAGTTGAAATTAAAAGACATGCTGAGAAATCAGAATTTAAACTTGTTACTTACACCCTGCTTTTGAAACTAATTTCTTGAAGAAAGGAAAATATTACAACAGTAAAATGCAGTGCTAAAATCAAATCACAATGTGTTATAAAACATTTTCTGTTTTATGGTATACAACTGCAAATGGTGTATATGGAGAAAGGAGAAGTCATGTCTAAGTATGTGTCTGTAATGAAGTGCATAGTCTGGGGTTGTGGATTCTTGCCTGCTACAAAGCTGAGTAGCCTTGGGTGAATGTGTGCATGCATACACATGTATATGTGTAACCCATATCAAAAGGCTAAAAAGCTGCTTTTAATAATCTGAAGGAAGCTAGAATGTGAGTATAAAAAAAACCTTAGTGTAAGTGGCACCTTTCCAAATTAAATGTAAAAGACTCTGAATTGTAACATTACTTGAAGCAAAAGAATGAATTGCATTTGTTCAGATTTGCAAAATAAAAAACGGGAAGACATAGTATGATTCCGCCCCCATATGTATTACTTGGTCTTTAAATGATCTACCATTGTGCGGTGTCTTGAGAATTAGCAGTAGATTAGAATCTGCTCTTGCAAAGACAGTTTTGCCTTAAATGTTTTCTGTCACCAAGAGTCAAATGCTGTTAAGCTCTGTCATATTAGCAGACTTTTATAGCAGAAGCAAGCACCATACTGCAGCACTGATGGAGTGCAATGGTATGTTGACTTAAAATGCCATGAAATGCAGAGACAATTGTATGCAATGCTGCAGACTGAACCATTTCTAGATGGAACGATTGGACATATGTGTTTCCCTCATGGGATTGAAAGGAGCGGAAGTATACTCTATTGCTAACTCTGCATGAAATTGCAGTGTTAGGGACTAATGACCAGATGTTCCAATCTCAACAAACAGCTTGTTATATGACTCTGCAAAAAAAAATCTGTTGCTTTGATCATGCACACCTTGAAGGAAAAAGTAATTGAATCGAGGCTGTCTTAAGTTCATCATAGTTAATAAACTTTCACTTGACTTTTCCCACCTGTTTTTGATACTTCTCTGCATATATGCTGATAGGCATATGTTTACTGTTTAAAATTTTACCCAGCTGATAAACAAAGAACACGGTATTTTGTTGTAGCCAGTCAGATGTCAGTATGCATGAACCTAACAGAGTAAGCGGCTTGTAGCTATGGCTGGGAAAGAGGAATAATCTTCAGCATAAGAACAAACCAATAGTTAACATGTAAAATGTTCTGAAATGTTAACAGCACAAGATATTAATAGAGCATTCACACACCCTATTGCTTATTCTTGCTACTGAAATTGCTACTATGTTCATCATGTCTATTGGTACTATGTTCATATTCCAAACATAAATAATATTTCGGGGGTTGTAAGAATTCCAGATGAACAAGGATGGTGATAGTTTGCTGCAGGAGGAGCCATTTTGTTATTACAGACCTGCACAACTTGGAAGTAGGCAGGGGCCAAAATTAAAATCACCAAAACTCTTTGGTCTGCAGATAGGTTTTAATTAATTATTATAATGAATTATTATGATTTAATAATAATAATAATAATAATAATAATAATAATAATAATAATAAAGTAATATTAATTCCATCCGCCGCTGCCACCATCTTGCTCTTTCTTGGGAGAAAGCCAAGCAGTGGAGGAGCCTTGAGCAGGGTGACCAGATGTCATAACCAGAATGGAGGAAAAGAAACCACAAAATGTAGGACATTCAAGAAAAATGTAGGCGACATTACAAAATAAAAGCTAAAAACAGTAATATAAATTCACAAAATTTATAAATATAAATGCACAAAAAAACCTCCTGATGCCCCCCATGCCATTGTGCTCCCACCGCTTCACCCCCCTGGCAGCCTCCTCCTTATAGGTGAGTCAGCTGGAAAAGCACATCTCACTCCAGAAGATAAATATACTTGAGCAGTTTGCACTCTATGTCTTTCTATAATAATAGCTACAAAACTGAATAATGATAATAGCATATGGGCACTTAGGTTCAAAGCACACTGCAGAAATAATCCAGTTTGAGACCACTTTAACTGCCCTGGTTCAATGCTAAGGAATCTTGGGACCTGTAATTTTGTAGATATTTAGCCTTCCCTGTCAGAGAGCTCTGGTGCCACAACAGACTACAGCTCCCATGTTCCCTAGCATTTATTTCTACAGTGTGTTTTGGACCTTATTATTTCTGCAGTGTGTCTTGAACCTTACTTTTTAAAAAATAGTCCAGATTTAAATGCTGCTTTAAAAATTATTTCCATCTCCCGGCTATGAGATGATTGGGGGGAAATGAGAAAGTGTTGGGGGGAAGGACTGCCAATATATTAAGTGATGCATTCAGGGGTATGTACAATTTGCAGCCAAATAAGTGGCCCTGGGCATGTCACACAAGAACAACAACAAAAAGTCTGGAGTTATTTTATAGGTAGTACATGGGAATAGGAGCCAGTGTGGTGTAGTGTTTTGAGTGTTGGACTACAACTCTGGAGACCTGGGTTCAATTCCCCACTCTGCCATGAAATCCACTGGGTGACATTGGGCAGGTCACACTCTCTCAGCCTCATGGGAAGACAATGGCAAACCTCTTCTGAAGAAATCTTGCCAAGGAAACCCCCATGATAGGGTCAACTTAGGGTTGCCTAAGAACATCTTGAAAGCACGCAGCAACAAAAAAAAACATGGGAATGGGCGGGTGGTTTAAATGCCCCAAGCTATGCATGAGGAGGCAGCCGCAGTAGCACCAGCTCCAGAGCAGGACAAGAAAGAATGGATGGAGGAGACCTCCCTCAGATGGTGCCTCCGAGCCAGGCAGTCATGCCTATGCACTCTCCGGCCCCAACTGGGCTGCCTGGCTCACTTCTCTGAGATGGAGGCAACAGTGGAAGGGGGCAGGCGGTGGCGATGCTCCATCTTTCCCATCTCATCTCCTGGTCACTCCTCCTCCTGGCCAAGGCAAGGCACAGACAGGCTGCCCTCTGTCTCCCCTACCAGCCCCAGTAGCCCAACCCAGCCTGGTGCCCTTCTTTCTCCCCCACTGCTTCCTCTCCTAGCATGTCTCAGTGGCTCCCCCTTGCCCATGGTCCCCAGCAAGGATGCCACCTCCCTGCCTTTCTTAATCACCTCCTTGCCTCTCCAAAATGGAGGATGTTTTGGAATTGTTCACAGACCCCTCAGAGAGAAGGTTAAAATGTGGGACTTGTCCTGGGAAAAGAGGGATGTTTAGTTATTCTGGCCTTGAGAGCTGCATGCCGCCAGAAATCCTTCGGAGAGCTGCAAGCAGCCCACGGCCCATATGTTGTGCAGGCTTATGTTATTACCTTCAGAGATTTATTAAGCCAATATCATCACAGCACATTTACAATAATGTAAACAAGAGGGACAGGCAACAAACAGTGCACTGTATCTTCATGTCCTAATAGGAGTTCTTCTGTTCATGGATTCAGGCAACCAACAGAGAGCCATCACCATCACTCCATTTTCCTTTACCAGTGAACACTCAGCAATCATTGGTTCCTTGAGAGAGATCTGGCCCCTTGGAATAAAATGTTTAAACTTTAGGAAACGTGAGGATTCCTCAGCCTTACTGATACGTCCCTTTTGTTTCTCAGTAACCCTATTGACAGCACCAATGGTGACAGCATCAAGCACCTGGCTTTGCTGTTATAAGGAGTGATAATTTGTATTCATTGTGTTGTTTGGTCGCAACTGATGAACTGCTTTATTGTTTCAGCGTTTACTGTCTTCCCATAAAACTCGTTACGTTCTTGAGTTCAAGTACTATTATTTTCAGTAGTCTTCGAGCATGAGATATTCAGACACATCATCTGTGTACCTAGAAGTGTGAGATTTTAGAGAAAAACTTCTTCCAAGTTCCATTTACCTTTCCATTCTTCTGAATATACTTGCTTATACGTTTGGGTGCAAATAACTGAGTGTGCTTTGTGGCCATTCCAGTTTTCACATTTGCTGCTTAGGAATATACCAGAGGAAACTGCATTTCACTGCATCAAAATGTAGATCCATTTAGTCCTATATTGTCAGTTCTGACTGAAAACAATGGTTCTTAGGGGTTTCAGACAGAATTCTTCCTTCACTCTTTCTTGGAAATCCATGATATTGCCAGTTGGCTTCCTATCCAAAAGTTATCCAGGAGTGACCTTGCTTTAGCATCCAAAATAGACAAGAATGGGTGTTTTCACCACTGTATGGGTGGCACAGAAATGCTACTTGGGAGGGCTAGGATGTAGAAAAAAATGCTTATGAAGACAATATGCTGCTAATTTAATTGTCTCAGTACATCTTACACTAATATTCTTCCATGTGAAAGAAAACATTTAACTTCAAATAATCCCTCATAAACACTAGAAATTATGCTGTCATAGTAATAATGGCTTTTCATTTAAAAGGCAAAGTTTTCATATAAATCTGCAGTTACAATGTTGTGCAGCCTTTGTCCAGATGATACATTAAAAGAAAAGCTCCATACCATTTATGTTACAGAGGTTCTACGTGGGTATATAAATTGGGAAAAAATAGGAATTATTAATACAGACATTAAAGTCAGTAGATGTTCTTGTTTTAAAATTAAAAAATAAAACATACTTCTTGGTTTGTCCATTCAGTATGATGACATTAGTCTTTTTTTGTTTTACTTTTTAACACAGTAACTTTTAACATAGCATGAAAGTAAATTGTTGAGTGAAATGTTTCAAAGCATGGAGAATGAAGGCAATTCCCAGGAATGGATTCTCTTTGGATAGCATTGGGTAGAGTTTTTCTGCCATTTTTGGTTGAAAGATTCTACTATTCATGAAATATTACTTACTCGTGGCTTTGTATCTAACAAAGCTGAAGAATTTCTCAGTGCAAAGGAATCATGTTATCTGTTTTGTCTGCTTCATTGAATTATATGCACACCAAAACACTTACTGCTTTCAGAAGATGTGAAGTTATGGGCTAAGTTTGCTTTTGAATACCTGCCCACTTATACTGTTATGAAACAATTATAACTGATATTTAGTTCTGTGGTAAAGTGATATAGCTCTTAAATGATAGTATAGACTGAGTCAATAGGGTAGTAACTGCAGTTGGGAGAAATTATATTATCAAGTTGGTTGATTGTTCCCGACCATTGTTTCATTGTGACACATTTAACTTTTTCTCTGTAGTACTGTACTGCTCTATTTTCCCATTTTAAACACAACTTTAAACCTTTAGTATGGAGAAATATTTTACGTTACTATAAGGGATCTTTTCTGGAAGCTGTATTACAACCTAATCTATTAGTTTAGCACCATTCAGGTATGGAGTTGTTGTTTTTAACATAAAAAGTCTGCAGAATTGCTTTAAATAATGTACCAGATAAGATACTATACATATTATTAAAGTATAGTCTTTAGGACTCAACAAGTGTTTCTTATCTTTCCATTCCTCTTAAAAATGAGAACAGGGGTTAAAGTTTAACATGAAAAAAAGTCAATTTTTATATCAAAATGTGTAGGGAAAAACATATTGTTGTCTGTTCTGCAATGCTGGTACTACAGCTAGTATCTGAATACAAAATTAAACTTGTGTTCCAATTATCTGTCTTCAAAGAAAATATACTCTACATTTTCCCCTTCCCCAGTAAGTACAACAGTCTAGCTAAATGTAGAATTCAAAATGTAGAAGGATGTGCTCAGTGTGTTTATCCAATTTCATTCCAGTGTCACAGGTAATTTGCCTGACCAATAGTAGAAAGAATAGATTTGGGCCACAATCTGACAGGCACTATTGCTATGCATCTTCTCATCCTTCTTTGTATAGAAATCTTGTTGAAATGAACATAGTAGCAGTAATTGTTGCTCGTTTTGTTGCCTAATAATATCTGTCTATTTTCTTCCATTCAGTTTCTCTATTGTTGCAGTGATAAAGTTTTGCTTAAAATAATTCCAGCGTCTTTTTAATTTTGATGATTCAGAACTATTGTGCCCTCAGAGAACTTAGGATGGGTTTGTTTTAATTTTGTTGTTTTGCTAATATTTTATTTATCAATTGTTTATTTAAACAATTGATGGTTTTACTTCATTGAAGTATTGGCCCACGTTTTTGTGGATTTGTTGCTTTTTCATCATACTCTTAGCCTTTCCTAAGCTATATCAGTTGGTCTGATCCTTCCAACAGTCTAAAGATTTTCATAATTTCAAGTTTACCTGTTTATAAGTGAATGCAGGTTTGATTGAAGTAATTATTTTATTGTTAAAATTTGAAGGGTTACCTCTGTTAATGTTTGATATGTTTTCATTTTTTAACAAATGCAAAAATATAATAATGAAAATATGATTCTAAACATTCTAAAAAATGTTCTCCCCTTCCCCTCCCATTGTTTTTAACTGTAGTGGATGATCCAGTCCCCTTACAAAGCTGCAACGTTTTTTGGGTGCATTGGAAAAGATAAATTTGGTGAGATTTTAAAGAAGAAAGCTGAAGAAGCTCATGTGGATGCTCATTACTACGAGCAGAGTGAAGAACCAACTGGAACTTGTGCTGCCTGCATCACAAGTGATAACAGGTCCAGTACTTTTCCTCTTGAGAAATTATCTTTTCAGGATATGAAAACAGAGAATAGGAAGCCTGTCATTTGCTTTAGAATATGGCAAAGATTTGCAACTACATTTTGTAGGCTACATTGATAAGTGGCTAGAATCTCACTTACTCCCTGTTTATTCTTTCAAACATTTTTTCTTTTTGCCATTGATCCTCATCTTTTACAGTGTGCCCACGTGGAAACATTGCCAATAATCCACTATTTTACTGTGTCTTTCTAATTTCTGTTGCAGGAAAGCTGGGTTCTTAAAACTCTTTGATAGCATTAGTTTGAACTTCTTGAGAGCTTGTGTAAATGGCTGAGAGACATAGGGCCCAAATAGATGGTCCAATGTGGCTTGGGGGCATGGCCATTAAATGACAAATGCCTGCAAGACATGCGGAAGCCACATTGAAGCTGCTTCCGGGGCACCCAAACCCACCTCAAAAAGGAGCAGATCTTTTCTGCTTCTATTTGGACCTGTGGCAGAGGGCGCCTTTGGGTCCATGGCGTGTGGTTACCATGGTCCTGAGGCATCTTGGGTGGGAATGGCTTCAAGCTGCCCCTTTGTGGCCGTCTGTTTCGGCCCTAAGCTTCAAAATTTCAATTTCTATCTAATCTCTCTGCCCAGCTACCACATGAGGTCATCACTGATTCACCTTACAGGAGCGTTATTCAGGTTTCAAGAAGAAGGGGCATGAAGAGTAATTTTAGCATAAAGGCAGATGAATTGTATTATCAAATAGTAGTATCATTGTTTAAGAGGGGCCAGAATGATGAAAAAGTTGTTACAGCCTGGCCCACTGGTGGGAACTTGACTGGAGATTGCAACAATGAAAGTAAGATTGTGACTGATGACTAAGATATTGTTTCCCAATCAGGAATAGGTGGTGAGCAGGAAGGGAGGGTAAATTAATCAGAACAGTCAACAAATTAAGAAGCAGACAGTAT